GTGCCACTCTCGGCAAAGATGTTTATTAGGCTACTTCAAGTTATCCAGAGTGTAACGACAAAACTAGAGAGTGTCGCCTATGCCCGTCGGCATGATGGTGTATTGTGTCATCTGACATCTCTAGAGTGTAACAACTTCATACATGACGCACGTATATATAGGAGAGAGATAGAAAAGAGACAGGGGAAAGAGATATTAGAACATTGGAAAGAGAACAGAAAGAGAATGAAGGAGAATCATCGAAGCGTGCCATCAATATCGGCACAAACAGTATTATAGGTTAGCATGTACGGTCGTTTCTGGTTGCCGTAGTGCTCCACTTGAGCATAGCTGCTTTTGAGCGAAAGATACTTATAACAAGCTGACAAGTGACTCTACTAACAGATTTCATATGAAATTTTTGATAACAGACGAATAAGCATGTATCAGAAACAGTAACTGTTAGAATATGCGGCAAAATGTTTTTTTCTTTAAAAGCGAATGAGAAAATTTCTTATATAATTGATTGAATATAACAATAGCAAAAAAGCATCCAATACATTTATGTAATCATCTTTTACTGGAAAATCCGGATTTAAAAAGCATAACAACAAAATAATTGAGAAAGTAATATATACATTTCATATGATAAACTTTTCTGGTCCCATTTTAACAATAGGACCGGTAGGTGCATCAATAACATGTGCTAAATTAGCTCCAATAAGATCATGAATATGATAATCAAAGCCTAATAAACATTGCTTTTTTGTATCTCGTAATCGAAATTCATTCATTGGGATTTCTCGATATGTTCGTCTTGATAATATTTGTATAAGTGTTCGTCGACCTTTTTCTATACATGCTACAAATTGTGCTAAGTTCGGTATTGAAAACCAATATTGATCAATTTGTTTTGGTAAAAGTAAACCTAATTGTATAAGTAAATGAATGTCATTGGTATTCAAATCAAAACCATTTTCCAAGCTATTCTTATCAATAGATAAACGTTTATTATTTGGTAATAAATCTTGAGTCAAACGTTGTTTTAAACGGTTTTTCTCTATCGATAATGACGATAGATTATTTTCATTTAATTGTTGTTCGACTAGGAATTGATAATCATTCGTAAACATTAACATAATACCTAAATCAGAATGAAAAAAACGTATTTGATTTTGGTTAAACATTTCTTGTAATTCACGATCAACTAATGTGCAATTGTTTGATGCCAAGGAATATAATTGATGTTTAAATATAATGGGTGACATATGAAGATAATCAATAAAAAGATTTTTAGATTCGACAAGAAAAAATTGTAAAGAATTTAATGTCAATGAAGATTTTTTAGTTGAATCATCTATAGTTTTTGATCGTTTTTTTGAATTGGAATTAAGAAATGAATATGAACGTTTCATTTTGTTCTTTTTATTTTAATCAAATCTGAAAGAAGAAAAAACAAAAAGTTTTCATTTCAATTATATCTAGCATAGGCGAACCGGAAAAATCCTACTATCAATTTTATATCGTTTTATCACATTACTGATCACTAGAAAATATTTTATGAAACTATTCACAAGCAATTAAACGAACAGTATTTTGCGCATAGGGTGTTACAGCGGATCGTTGATTATTTGTTAAATAATTTGCACCATTGGCTGGATCTTTTTCACATGGATCAAGTCAATCTGAAGTAATTTCATTCGACAGTAGAATATCATTACTCATATAAGTAAATACAGCAGGAAAAAGTGTCAATATTGAGTTTACTGGTTGATTTTGACATTTATGAACAATTAATATGAGACACCAAATATTTAGACAAGATAAAGGCGTTTGTTTGTACTGTAGATCACGTAGAAGTCTAAGTACAATTAAAGTATCATTATGATGAAATATTGATCGTGTAAACCAATTGGAATGACCTAAAAATAAGACATGCAAGAGACAACTTTAATTGATTAATGAATTTGCAATAAACTATGTCTAAAATCATTAGGTATGTGTTAAGAAAAAAATATTTTAAATTTTCATTTTATCATATAGAGCATTCTTTGGGAGATGAGTTAGAATAGCTTAGTCATTAACCACCTTGATGTATGCTTATTTATTACGACTCAACTTCAAAGATTCAGATAAACTATAACACAAAAATACACTTTTCTTAAGCAAACGATTATCAGCATAATAATTGTTTCGAGCAGAATCATGAAAGTAAAGTTTGTCAAATTGCTTAGAGTGCACATATAAAGAAACTTGCAGAATTTGAAAATTAGCACTAAAAGAAGGTATTTGAAATGTGAGCGTACTGGAAGAATACATTTTGTGTCTTCAAATAGTTGTACTGAGATAAAGGCCATGACGTTGTATTTTTTACGAAGATCAATTAGAGATTATGAGAGTGAACAATTTTTTTCACCAAACGCTTCGCTAGGGAATAGGAAACACAAGGGGGTAAGTGCTGGCACCCAGCACCCTGGCACCTCAGCACCTGCCCAGCACCTCAACACCTACTCAGCACCTGCTCGGCACTTGTGGGTGCTGTGAAGATTAGGAAATTAGAGCATAAATATTAATTCAGAAGTTGCTTAGCAATTGGGTAACAGTATTCAGATTTGGTGTTTTTGCCATAGAAAAATACTGATTTATGATAGAAAATACCATAGCACTTTTCCAATACCATTTTAACACTCTTTGGTCCTTAAATTATATTCAGTGAGGTGCAAATAGTTCACAAAAGATCCTTTTATTTTCAATGATATCGAAGAAACTCTACTTCTCTGACAACCACTACATGAAAATATTANGTGATTCGAAAACCCTTTTATGACAATGAAAACTAAGCAACACTACGTTTTTTTTTGGCTGCTACATGTACTGGCCAATATTCAAATGATAAACAAATATCATTTGTGATTGTCATTCATTAGTACAATTTTTGCTTCTAAAATTAATGCTCGCTGTTCAGCATAATGTTCTCTTTCTGTTTGTAATAATATGAAAAAGATACAAATTCCAAGCGATGACCTATATGTTTATCTCATGTATTCAACAGAAAGAACATCAAATTCACCGATTGGTGATAAGAACTTGTTTTAGCTTTATTGTGAACAAGTATTTCCTTTTTTTGTATTATTTATTTTTTGTAATTTATTCTTTAAATAAAATATGAACATTGATTTACAATTTGTTTTATTTCGTATTTGTTATTACAAATAGCTGAGATAAAGTCTAGTGTCATAGAATCGTGACGAGCTGCTTAACTATCAATACAGCGCATTAGGAAAAAAGCTTATAGCCTATTAGGTGTATCGGGCACCTCCCTTATCAAAATCCTGGGTACGTCACTGGACGTGTGTCATTGATTGTACCTTGGTAGACATATCAGTTTAAAAATAAAATGACAAATAATAAACATTTCGTTGGACTGAAAAAGTTCAAAACGTCTGTGCTGATTCGATATAGTTTGGTACGTCTAATTATCGATATTCTCAAGATCTCTTCAGTATCGTTTTTGCTACTTTTGAACCATACTATTCGTATAATTTTAATAAGCAATATAATTTATTTTTAAATAAAATGATTTCAAGATATTTAAATAAGAGCTAGTTTTGTATTTATTTCAATCAATTAATTATTTATAAATAAATATAAGCATAAACATACTTATTTCAGTTGCTGTTGTAGACATTTATTTTAGTCAAGCATATCTATTGGGCCATCAGAGTTTAATTCTGCTAGTCTTAGAGCAGTTGTTTGATCACGATTTGAAAACTTTTCACTACGAGATACTGGTGATGTTAACATTATTTGAATCGTATGTTCAGATAATCGATTGGATTATACATTACGACAAGCATCGACTACATTTTTATGGACTTGATAGATGTTTTTCATGGATGATAGTTCTTCTATTGAATGTGATTGATTCGCAGAAGTAACTTGTTTATTAAAGCATTAGTTAATTCTTGGCAAATATCATTAAGTAATGCTATAGTTGGTTTATTAGCACAAAGAAGTACCAATGTATATTCATGATCAGTTCTAAGAGAAAGATGCATCGATAAAATTGAAACTTTCATGGCACCTTTGAGCATTCTATTCAAAAGGAAAAATAGAAATGAACAAAACAAATTTTTTCTCTACCGAAATGATTCTAATGAATTTTCATTAGCTTGCTCGATACTATTCAATGAAGAACGGTGTGATAATCTTGGTATGCAGCGTATATTTTTTTAATTGAAATTGTTTCATGATTCGATCAGAAACAAATTTTAAAGCTCTTTCAATATCTCGAACACAATTGTGTAATGTATTGATTATACTTTTTTGTTCACTTATTTCATCATGTTTCTTATTTAGGAGAATTTCAAATGTATTTTCATGAATTGGATTTATTTGCTGTTGATTGATTTCAACTGGTACTTGTTGTTGAGGCAAATTTTTTTGAGGATCATTTGATGGCACTAAAGACAAAACCGATTACTATTTGCATGATAGTCATATTTCGATATTATTATTAATCAAGTTTTCATTGAATCTTTTTAGATAAATAATCACTTTTGTTGGATTCAGATGTATTATGAACAAGATATTACTGATACCTTTAAATATTTCAGTGATATACAAGTATGGAATACAGTAGCTTAAATAAAAATAAAAATGTGAAAAGTTTATGAACTATTACATTATCTTAGTACGTTTTATATTTCAGATTAAATGAAAATAACCCCCCAAAAGATTTTATGACGGAATGAGAATTTCAGTTTTGAAATCATCTCGTAGTCTCTATAAAAGATATTTTTATTATTATTTATGATTGCAATTTGAACTTTAATCAGTTGTAATAGAGACCTTTTCTCTTGCAGGTTTCTATTCAGACAAGTTGATCAAACAAATAAAATCATTTGCCATGATCTTGAGCATTCTTTGGAGAAAAAAAAACAGTTTTCGCATCAGATATTGTTTTACTAAGATTTTTCGATAAGAATATGTTGTTTACTTTCTAGAAAATACTTTTGAATTTAGAACTGTATATAACTATACATCATAGTATTCATGTTGATTCTTTAACAATAACCAGGTCGAATCGAAATCTATACGGCAGATTCCTTAGGAATATGTAAAGAAATTCGATATCGATTTATAAACTAAAAAATAATTGAAAAAAGATATTCAAGTTTTGTAGGAAGCATCTTTATTCAGAAGAATTGCATAACTATAAAATAAACCAATATTCTGTTGATTTCGAATGTTCGACTCTTTTCTTTCTTATCAATTTAAATCAAACGACATGAAAAAAACAATCAACTTACCTTTTTTGATACGTGACGTTCGTGATGATTTTGATTTATGTCGTGATTTTTCAGGTTTTTTCAATGTTGTTGTTGCTAAAGCTTGTTCAGCAGCTGGATAAATGTATAATTAAATAAATTGTAATTATTTGATCTATGAATAACACTAATCACTTTGTTGCGCCCGTTTAATACTTGTTTCCATGCCAATAGAAGTTTTATTGGCAACAGTCAATCGTACTTCAAATTTTTTACAATGTCCTGGACCAGTTTCTGATATTAAATCGTATGTAGCAGTTACCTAAAAATTTGCTTGTTTTTCTTTTTGTGAATTTTTCTTTTATGTGGATCTCATTGTATCTGGCTAATTCATGTATTAATTGTAAAGTACTCTTTCGATTAGTAGAAATCAATGTTTCAGTAGTACTATATGGTTGATTTAGTTCATTTTCACTACTTGGTGATACTGTCAGCTGCTTATTGGAATCAACATTGCTGGATATTTGACTAGTACGCTCATCCTACCGCAAAATATAAAATGAAAATATATGTTTACGCTTTTAAAGAACCAATCGTACTGTGTTAACTTTGATTTTTTTTATATATTTTTGCCCACGATTAGGAACATCCATCATGTACTGTGAATTCACTTCAACTCCACATGTATGACAAGAAAAATTTTCTTGTTGACGTTTTTCAGCTCTACACGATTGTCACTAAAGTTTTTTGAAGAAAAAATGTTTATAAACGTAAAAGATAGATATATATTTAATTAACTGATGATTTCGACTTACGAAGAGTTCGCCGATGATAAGGTCGATTTTTTGATTTATATATGATGGTTCTGTCAATGGAAAACGCTGATTGCGCATAATCAATCGATTAAACATAAATGCAGCTTGTGTTCGCCTGTTATTAAAATTTTCGTTATTATTCATTCTTTCGTTGGCTCTTTGATAAAAAAAAAGTGTTGCTATACCACTGATAATCAAATGCATGAATTGAGGACGCGTACAACAAAATAAAATAAAGACAGTTTTGATATTTCATAAGATTTCAATCGAACAAACGACAGTTTTCTTCAACAGATGGCGGTATTAGATGAATTCTTTCTCAATTCAAATATGGATTTTTGAGGGGTTCAATAGAGATAACGGCACTATAAACAAAAAATTGACAAAAATAGTTTTCACATCTAAAGATTTTTTTCGATCGATTGATTTTCGTTATCCTAGCAGTCGCCCTTACACAATTCGAAAATTTTTACCAAAATATTGTATAAAACAATTTTTTATCCTAAAATGATAAGAACACAAATTATTTCCAATGTAGTTATTTGAAAAACAATCTGATTTAGCGTTTTTCAATAAGAATAAAATAAGCAATCACGAGTAAACAGTTGATATTCGCAAGTTCAGTAAAGTTCACATGATTCTACAGATTTCAAACTAGGGGTGGCACTTTAACTTTACTTTAACCGTAAAGTTTAAAATTTAAAGTTGTTTAAAGTCGCCTTTAAAGGCTTATTTTCAATACTTTTTACTGTAGTGGCGTATTTACTCATGCTTATGAGACTCTCTGCAACAGATAAAACGCCAAAAAGAAGCATTTAAGTGTGACTTTAAACAATTTTAAACTCGGTACTTTACAGTCAATTTAAAGTTAAAGGGCCACTCCTATTTCAAACTCTGATCAATAAAAATGTTTAGTATACGAGCAAAGATAAGCATTCTTCTTATGGATTTTTCTAGGTTACCTTTTGAATATGAATAATAGATGTTATTTTATTGTTGTAATGAACGTGTTCGTTTTTGAGTAAATGTCTATTTAGTTGAATTAAAACTTATTTTTTATAGAATATCATTGAATCAAGATCAATTAAGTAATTTGCCAATGCTCTGTAGGTCTTATACTCCAAGAATAAGACTGACATATTTCTGAATCAATCGTGGCTATGAAACTACGATATGAACAGTACAGAAAAGATTGTCATTTAAGTTTGAATGATTCTATGAAATCATGTTTTTTTTATAATATTGAACAATTTGTAAATCATAGTCATTTTCATGTAACACACACACTATATTTGGTCGTATTGTTTCTGAACCTATTACTTGTCATGCAAAAGAAAGAGAAATTACGTTAAACATATGACGGACGATCGAATCTAAATTTGTATCTGAATCGCAGAAAAAAATTTCTTGAAAATGATACTCGGGAGAATAATATTTGTGTTAGAATTAAATATTAATTTTTCCTACAGAATACACACATTTGTGGGATGATAAATAATTTAAACTAAATACATATTCTATATATATATATATTATTTTATATATTATCGCCGATGCTTTGTTACTTACGACATCTATGAACGTCTTCAGTGAAAGTATGCGTCAGAGAACGAATGTCTATACTACCCCATAGAGAGACAAATAAGGAATCGATCGTGTACACGTATACATTTGTATTTTTTTCTTCTACTATTGGTGCCATTTTAGTTTGATAGTTCTATCAATATAACAACACAAATTTTTGTCACGTTGTGCATGTTCATAAAGAAGCAAAAATTTCAAAGTAGCCTCCGCTCCAATTGATATCTACTTATTGGTTAGCTTCACATTTTCAGATATATCTTGTGTTCGATGTATACTAATTGTTGAATTATTCAGTCAAAGAATGATTTAGCAAAGTACAAATAACAACTCACAAAAATGATCTATTGCTTAATTAGAAGAATATTAGTATGATCAAACATCAAAATTCATTGTTTTTAGAAGGCCTCCAAATAGTTACCCTATGTTTCGTTTGGTATGGTGAGTAAATTATTAGGTCGTCTCTTGATCTTTTTTTTTATATATTGTTCATTTTAATTTCATTAGGTGTATCGGCAGTAGGCAATGTTATTGTAAAAGAATTACTCAATGAATTTCCGTTTCCATTGACAGTTACACTTGTACAACTTTTCAGTGTCTGGATCTTAAGTATCCCACTACTTCAGTATGAATATATTTTCATCGTAATTTATTTTATTTATGATCATTCATGTTTTTTTAGTTTTTTGAAAGTACCACCACCTGAATTTCTTCACCAAAATCGAATATATTATTTGAAAGTCATTATTCCATTATCAGTAGGCAAATTTCTCGCACAACTATCATCACATGTTAGTCTTTGGAAAGTACCTGTTTCTTATGCTCATACAGTCAAAGCAACTATGCCTCTATTCACTGTGTAAGTTTGTATTTTGTTTTTGATTAAAAATTTTAGATATTTCTAGATTAGAAAATAGACAAAATAATGTATCCATAAAAGATTACAAATCCCAATCGAGAAAATGTTGACTTTCGATTTCAAAATGTTTTTAATCTCGAAAGATCGCATTGTGTTTTAATAAAACTACTGAAAAGATTTTTGTCCCATCACGTTACCAAATGAAGCGAGTTAAAGTAGATTAACTCTCATAAAAATTATTTAAAAGTTGCATATTTCGAACAGTTGTTCTTAAACCTCAGAATTCATTTTTAATAGAAACTAGTCTCTAAAATAGTTATATATAAGCAGAGGCAGTATCATATTAAATATTTAACTTAAAAATTATAGCTCAAAGAAAAATCCTTAATATCAAAATAAGGAACTCGGAAAAAATTTAATCTTGAGAAAAAAGTGTTATTCAGTTTTTTTTTGAGTGTTTCGAAAGATAATCGTAGCTGATTGATGCGATACCAATAATTCAAAAATTTCCGATTGTTTCTAGACTCTTGTCACGTTTAATTCTACGTGAAAAACAATCATTACCTGTTTACTTCTCCCTTATTCCTATTATTATTGGTGTGATTGTTGCAACAGTTACAGAAATTTCATTCAATGCAGTTGGCCTTATTAGTGCTTTACTCTCAACATTTGGTTTTTCATTACAAAATATTTATTCAAAAAAAGTAAGTTCTCTTTTCAAAAAATATTTTTGTTCATATCCTATCTACTTTATTTTTACTAGTCTCTAAAAGATATTTCAATTCATCATTATGCATTACTTGCTTTATTAGCTAAAATATCTTGGTGCTTGTTTGTACCGTTTTGGTTTTTTTATGACGGTATTGATATATATTCTAATACGAAATATGTGAGTAAGTGATAATGGAATAGAATTCAATGAAAAATCTAAAAGAAATTTATTTCTTTTTCTTCATTTAGCATTCTCATAATAGAGCGATGAAAATATTTTTCTATTTATTTATTGATGGCATACTGAATTTTTTACATAATGTGGTAGCTTTCACGATGATTTCACTGGTATCACCATTATCATATAGTATCGCGAATAGTACAAAACGAATAGTTGTTATTTGCATCTCATTATTTATATTGAGAAATCCGGTAACAACAACAAATGTTCTGGGCATGAGTTTAGCTCTACTCGGTGTTATGTATTACAATAAAGTACGTAGCTAGTTGTTATATCTTAAAATTTAAATAAGGAATAGATATGTTTTTGAACTATGCAAAATTAACTAACGAATCAATAATCGAATTGAAAACAACCATATAGGGCCATATTATATGTAAAAAAAAATGTTTAACTGAAACTAGTAAAGGTCTACAATTGTTTGTCTCTCTGGATCTTTGAAGTTGAATCATGATCTTTCTGCTGAGTTTTTGTTTATAGACTAGTGTAAGTATTATTCTATGGGGATATTCAAATTTTCAAGAGAATTCAATGATTCTATACCGCAATAGTAGACCATTCCTTTTCTACTGAAACATTTAGAATACGCTATGAATCATTTGAACTAGATATTGGTAGATTCTACATCGAATTTATATTCCTAAACTTTTCTGTATGCGTCTAATATAGTATTAAATGGATTATAGAAACGAGCTTTTTCTAATTTCATCAAGACTTTCTTTGCGACTCTTATACAAGCTTAAAAAGCGTGGATTTCTCTGGCAGTACTATTGTAATTGGATGGACAAATCATGTATTCTGATTTTTCTAAGACATTTTGTTTTGCAATAATCTAATTGATTAAAGAAAACTTTGGCTATTCCTATACCTTTCATATACAGAAAAAAAAACATTTGTTTCAAAAGCAACATTCAGCAATGACATTGAGTTCGTTTAATCTAAAAGTTATATTATTATTGACATGCGAATCTTTGAAAATGTCCTACAGATTCCAAATTCATGATAGCACGAGTATTTTCTCCGGATACTATTAGATACTCTAAATGTAGATATTGAAAATCTCAACCAAACCAGCTGTTTTCAATGAGTACTAAAATGGAACACCAATATCATACTGTTTGTTTCTAATTTATTTTTCAGGCTAAATATGATCAACGTCGTGCTCAACACAAACAAGCTATTATACCATTGGTTCGAAGTCAACCAAATTTTAATTCAATAAATTTTGATCATATTCGAATGAATCATCCTGATGCTGAATTAACAGTTCGACATCATCCAATATTAAATATGAATGGCCCATATTATAATGGTTTTATTCCGAATTATGCAAGTCAATCATATAAAAATATTTAAATTTAGACATGTTTGTTGCTTCTTCTTGTTTTTCTGTTATTTCCTAATATCATAATTGATTATTCTTCTAATTAGTTATTTTATTTTATTCTTAAAAGAGCAAAACTAGGAAGATACAAGGCCTCATCAGCCCTTCAAAAAAAAAAGATGCAGTAGATCAACATAAGAAATCAACAAAGTATGAATGCGGCAAAAAAAGAGCGATTAAATAATTAATGGTCATGCTTGAAGAAAGAAAGAAAAAAATCTTTAACGCAACAAAATTTCATTATACAAAAAAGATGAGAGGAATGACTGACTGTCTTTTGATATAAATGTTAAGATATTCCAAATAACATCTTAACTATCGGAATATATTGTTTGACTAGTTATTGAATGAAAACAGACACACTCGATTGCCTTAGTAAAAAAAAAGAAAACTTCGTTATTAATTTTATGTACATAATCATATGACTAGAGAAAAACTGCACTGTGTGTGTGCGTGTGTCGTAAGTGTTAGTACGGCTTGGCTAAATCTTTTGGTCGTTTTAATTGAACTTTTAAACGTTTCATGCCAATTTGAAATCCATTCATCGATTGTATGGCTAAAATAATAGAGATAAAAATTGAATGTAACGAAAACAACTATTTTACCTTGCTGAGCACATTGTGGATTATCATAGGAAACGAAGCCTAAAACAAAAGGAAAACAAATGAAATTATGATTGCTATGTGAGCAAAAAAATTTGAGAAAAGGAAAAAAGAGCGCACGTGCAAGAAGAAGAAAAAGAGAGAACTGCATTGGATTGTCACATCACAACATCAATATGAATTAAAATTAAATTGAAAAAAATTTGAAATTAAAAATCTTGATGCGGCGATCCAGTACATAGTTCAAATCTTTTTGTATTCTTTCTTTCTTTCTTTGTGTACATTTACTCTTCATTTCACTTTTCTCGAAACAAAAAACAATATGTACCAAAACATTTTGATTGACTAGTAGCACGATCAACATAAACTTTAGCCGATATAACATTGCCAAATGGCATAAACATTGATGCAAGTTCGGAATCACCGAATTCTTGAGGTAAATGGTAGATAAAAAGATTGCAACCCTCTGGACCGAAGAACTGTGGCAAAGCTATGAAATCGAAATCGAAAACGATTAATATTATTATGGAAAGAAGAAAAAAAATTCACTAACGAAGAGAAAAAAAACATTTTTCAATTGCTATTTTTCTACTAACCTTCTTTACCCGGTGATGTTATTGTACCCGGTAGGAGCGTTGTAGTTGGCAAAGGAGAGTAAATAGCCGCTGGAGCATAAATAGGATATTGCGCAGGTAATGTTGCATAAGCTGTAGCTTGTTGCAATTGCAGACCAGTAGCAGTGTCAATAGTTTGTCCAACAACAGCTAGAATCATATTTGAATATATACATTTAAAAAAATATTTTTAATTTTGAGATTATCAATGATTGTCATAAATCATCGACAAACTATATTATTTATGTCCTAAAAAACACCTCTTTGATGATTGTTGTAACATCATAATGGTCACTGTGCTCTCTTTTAAAACATGAATAATAATTTAATTTCGAATATTCCATACACTGTAACGTTAAAACAGACACTCCTCGTGCAAGCACATTGTATTGTAGTAAAAAAAAAGCGTTTATTTCTGATGCCACAGAAGATTGAATGTTTATAGTAAACAAAAAGAACAAAAGATTCATCTAGCTTATTTTATTGTTTTATTCCCATGAGTTATAATATTAGATATTCACATGGGTTGCGGATTTCCTTAAAAACAGATATTGTCTACTATGCTCTAGTTTCACGATAGATGAATTTTTGGCAAATAGAAAAACTATTTTGAAGAAAGATTCCTGTGAACTTACTTGAATATTGCATGCCCGATGAAAACAAATCAGTTGATTGACCATTTTGATTAGGTCCTGTTGTTTGATAAATTGTTCCTGGACCATTGTTAACAGGAGAGGCATTGACTAAAGAATAATTAGGAAAGTCCATATTGTCACAATCACCTATGAGATTAGTTACTCAAAAGTTTTAGTGAATAAAATATACTTTTATATGATTTCTTTTTTGATTTCTTTTGTATCATATTTTTTTAAATTAAAATTTTTCTATTACCTGTCGATGGTGTCATAGTTCCATTGCTCATTGGTTGGCCAGATGTGGTTAGAACTGGTATAGTTGTATATGTGGTTGTATGAGTACCGGTAGATGATGCTAATAAAGCTTGTTGTTGCATTTGCGTATATCCTTGATAATTTAAATTTGCTGCTATTTGTTGAAGTACTAACGGATTTGATAAAAGTCCAAGCGGTCCAGCTAATTGTTGCATACGTCGTAACTGTCGTTCTTTTTCTGTATCAGCAAATTTAACAACAATGGATGATGATGCGCCTGGAAATGTTTGACTTCCATGAATATTCTGTATAGCTTGTTGAGCTTCATTATGCGTAGCATATTTAACGAATGCACAACCTTTACTATCCCCACTAGGCCCACGTAAAATTGTACATTCTTCTATTGTACCGTAAGGTTCAAATATAGTTCGAACATTTTCTTCTGTCATTTGCTTATTTAACATTCCAACGAACAACTTTCGATCTTCTATTAAAACAAGAGAAAAAAAACGGGAAAAGATTAATTCAATTTTAGCTTGCACTTATCCATATCTATAGAACATCTGTCATTTCTCCACATGTGCACACACATAGACGAACTATTTAACCGGATATATACTGTTTCTGCTTGAAAGCCTATCTAGTTTATTAATCATACATTGTGACATGTGACATATTTCACCTCTCTATTCATGTGTTCTATTCTGTATTAGATTCCCATTACACAGCAGTCGATTTCCCTCATTAATCTGTATTTCATGTATTGAAAAAAAATTTCAAATAAAATCATTTTTATTCTCTCACCTGTATTTCGTACACGATTACTCAGCATTGAATATAGAGCCTGAGTTTCGTTCGGTGTTGCGACCATCATCATTTAAAAGTATTATGAAATCGAAAGAGAATGTTGATGAAGATGTGAAAAAAAAGAAAATTTCCTCTTCTTTTCTGCTGTTCTTCTTCGCTCGGAAATCTCAAGCGTCTACTTCTCTTGTTCTTCTTTTTTTGTCGACCGGAAAAAGTAGTCACTCTTTTTTTTGCCTCTGCTTCTTTCTCATTTTTTTTCCTCTTCTCTATCTAAACTACCTAGCCAGCTATCCGACGCTCTTCTCTATATGTCGGGTCAAGTTTTCTTTTTTTTTCTAACGACGAACGTCGACGATGGGAAATCTTATTAGGCTCTTTTTTTTGTCTATCAGAAAAAAAGAGGATCCTGCTATTCGCACACTCACATACCGATTGGGCAATTTGTTTCATTCATCTCACCAGTTTCCTTTTTTTTTTTTATTATGAGCATGCATTACCATTTTTCTACAGCTAAGAAAAAGAAAGAATTTTCTTTCGGCTCACACTGCAATTAACCTGACGTGTGCGTATGTGTGCATGCGGCATGAGATGAAACGATAGGAAAAAATTTAGTAAAGGAAAAAGATATTCATTAGTAAATAAAAAGAAAAGAAAGACTAGAAGACATTGGTGACTTTTTACAACGACGAGGCTGAGCACATAAAAACCAGCACGACGATTTGACATTACACCATTTATTTTTAGAGAAATAGAAAAACGTGGTCAAGAACAACACAGGCACCAATTACTACCATTTATAAATAACGACAAAATATATATTATGACTAACTCACATTTACTTTTGTTGCTGTATCGTTTAAAGTCAAATAAGCAGGTGCTATTCAAAACAGATTATCATCATGATGGGGAGTAAAAAAGAAAAAAAGAAATAACAGAAGCGGAAGAATTTGAAATTTCTTTCCTTTGTATTTCAATGTTTTCCAAGCACAATTTTCAAATCAGACCTCGATTGATGTCGACTCATTTCCGGTTTCTCTTATCAACAAAACGTTGTTCATTTCCTTTGCATTCTTTTTTTTTGTTTTGTTTATCAAACTGATGTATGCACCGTTTGAAACCATGTGTCATGTTAATATGGTAGACTTATAAGATTTTTAAAAAAATGACATCAGTCAATAAATAAACGAACAATGGGAACGGGCCAATAGAAAGGAAAACAATCAATGTATATTACCTGTTCGTGATTCACTATCAGCCGGTTTGACTTGAATAGGGCGACTCATCTAAAATAAAAACATTGACAATAGAAGTTCTTTATTATTTTCTAGCATTGAATCTTTATAATATTTATATCACGTTGATTCTCAAAGTTTTACTCATTTCTTCGTTTTTCTATTACAAGTTACTTTTTCTTATATTGTTCATTTTCTAATCCTCTGTTGCTTGTTTCTAGTGAACTATATAATTAGCAGCTGGAGTGAGAAGACTATCTAGTGCGGAGTCTAGCACTTCCGTTGCAGCCAGAGGAATATTTATTCAATGCAGCTTGATAGTTAATTAGTTCGCACGCAATAGACTATGATATGTATTTACACCGATGCTTTCTCTCGCTCGTTTTTTCCTATTCATCATTGTTTTACTACAAAAGTCCGCGTTCATTTTAACTAGCCAGAAGCGATCTCCGTTTCTGTTCGCATCTGACATTTGTCACAATAGATATTGAATACGACACATTCGCCGCCGTTCGACCATCTACATGATTCTCTTTCACTTGAACGCAACTAATTATATGCTCTCGCGATGGTCGAGTTCAAAGTAGCATTGAAGAGGAAAATCGACACGTGCCCCGATGGTATCCTACTAGCTTTTTGCATCTATGTTTTTTGTGAAAACAATTATTCAGACCGAGCGTGTATAATGAACAAAAAAAATATAATACTAATTTCCATCTAAATATGTATTGTAATGCAGAACTTACAAGTGTAGTTAAAGATTCCGAAGAAGTAGAAGGAGAAGTGTCAGTGCTGTTGTCACGATATTTTCTTTTCATTGCGCGCTT